ATTCTTGCACCACCGGTATACTGCCTAAGTCTACATCCGACCCTCCTTTTGTAGTAGTGATCGTTGCTAGATACGCCTCACAACCTTTCTCTATCAGCCGTTCTGCCTGAATAGCTGAAACCACCAAACTTCCTGAGGTTGGTCTAACTCCCTGATAAACCAAGACCTCTCCTTCTCTCTCAAACCGCACCCTTCCACGGTGACAATCCAAGTGAGCTATGTGCTTGCCTAACCAGTCCATTCCCAAAATGACATCGTAGGACTTAACCCTACAGATCACTAGATATGCTGGCATGTTCACTTCGCCAAACATCACTGGAAATGTCTCATAAGAACAATTCGCGTTCACCAGCCTTCCAACAATTCCTTTCCACCACGTGTGTGCATCACCCTCCAAGTAGTGCACTGCTATGTCCCTCTTGTAACCCTCTGGACATCGGATAGACTCAAAATTCCATTCCAGTCTCATCCTCCACTCATCTGCCTCAATCGGTGTAGAACCTCCAGCAAAGAACTTGGTTCCCAACCGCACCATGTGATCCAAAACCTTGAGGTAACTCGGAACTCTCTCCACATGGTCCGCTTCCTCCTCAACCACATCCGCGTGAACCCCCACCGGTGGTACTACATGTGGTGCTGCTGCAACCGCCGGAGCAGGAGCCACCGTAGGTAGCCTAGCTAGTACCTGTGCTAACATCCCAAGCACAGCCTCTAACCCCACTGGTGCTACATTCGCAGCAACCCCAGCTGCACCCGCAGCATTCCTAGCCACGTTCTCAGCTTCCGCAGCATTCCTTGCTGCTTCCACGGCTGCCACTCTAGCCGCCTCATTCACAACCATAGCTGTCTGTCCCTCGGCTTCCCTAGCCCTCTCAGCAACATCACCGTTGACTGAGTTCACAGACCCCGCAGCCTGGTTGTCCCCATTGATTCTCACGGTTCTTCTGGTATCAACCATCTTCAAGTACACAATGCCAGTTAGCCGAAGCTAACTCAAAACATGTTTCACAACACCACACAACAACTTACCGCGAGACCTTGGCAGTGAAGAATGGATCGGACCCCCATAAACCCCAAACAAACAAACAAACAACAGCAGTCACCAATTTCAGTCCTAGAAGCAATAAAACGCTCTGATACCAACTTGTGGTAACCCAACCCGGTAAACCGTACCGCGACTGTGTCCCACTACATCCTCTAAGTCCGTTTCTATACTTAGCCATATTTTTGAACTTTTTCTTTTATTTTTCTAAGTCTTTCTTATCAATACACAGCAGAATATAAATAACTCATTTCATTCATTTAACTCTCAAAAATACTTAAACAGATTCGGGGTTCCACATAAATCAAATCACAAGGTTCACTAACGATTACAACCAATCATCTAGCAACCTAAACGGTCAAACACCAAAGCCTTAAGACTCTAAACACAAGTCTTGACACAAATAAAACCAAGTCCTGATCCGTCTATATCCATCACTGCCGCCTGGTCTCGCCCCTTACTGCTTAGTACCTGCACACTCAAATGAGAGGCATAAGTATTTCATAAATACTTAGTGAGTACGGTCATCCCGTAACACCTGGTCAGTACCAAAACATGCAGTCATACTTTCGGATTCAACATTCAACACAATCAATTCGCAATAGACATAACCATATCAAACGGCCATGATCATCTAGCCTAACCAACCAAGATCAATCCCTTTTTAAGACCCATGTCTACTTCAGCGAGAATCCCACATCCCCTAAGCTAGTACATGATCCGGATTACCCTGAGGTTAGCTAAACATCATATATGCCACGGTAAACACCACAATATATCACAACATAAGGATTGCTTATCAATTCCAAACACATAACATGAAAATCACACAATCAACATGCAAAACACTCAACCCTAGCAATCCTACGGTCCTAGACCCAACCACAGTCACGCACTCACCTTAGACAAGGCTAGAAACAGATTGGTCAGAAGAAATCCCGATGAAAACTGCACCAAAACGAAGAATCTCTCGGCTCACGGTACGATCCGATCCTTATTCCCTCAGCTATCTCTTGATCTGTTCACCTTTCTTCGAGCCAAACTCTATTTTCCCTCAGAAACCCCACAAAACAAGGCTATTAGCTCAAGGTTATCCGATGAAAACTCAACACTTAGGGAAATATCTGATCGCTTACCAGTTTATCTCGGCGATGATCGGTTCTGCTCGGCGATAGCCTGATCTCTCTCGGATGTCCTCGGGATAAACTGTTTTTCTTAGGGTTTTCTCTTGACTAAACTCTCTCTTTGCTTTATTTAGCTCAAATAAACGCAACACCCTCGAGTTAAGTCTCAAATTCCCTTATATACTCGCAAAACCCTAGGTAACCCGGACTTATCCGACGTTTTCCTGGTTCCAGTAGGATTATCCCGGTCCGATTCGATTTTCCTCGGCTATTCCCTGTACCGGCTCGACCATCCACTCGATAAATCCCAAAATAGCCGACCAAACACTTGGCCCACGGCCCAAATCCCTTCCCACTCGGATAAACCGCCCTTATCCGAGGTGTTTTCTATTTTTCATCCGGATATTCCTATTTCTCCTGGACAACTTGTCCCACCTCGACTAATCCTCTATTTCTCTCGGAGGTTTCCTATTCCCCCTCGGAGACAGTCCACTGACACTCGGACTAACCTCCCAGACTCTCGGATATATCCCACTTCACTCGGATAAATCCCATTTCCCTCGGACTGGACCCTGTTTTCCCTCGGATATGGTCCATTCGGCTCGGCTATCTAGCCCACATCCGACTATTTCACCGGTCAACACCCGACCATAGTCCGAACCTCCATTTTCCAGCCAGTATCCGACCCTTGGCTCGGTCATCCCTCGGACAATGCTCTGTCCGGTACGATCATTCCACATTTTTTCGGATACGGATGCTACAGAAATCTTTTTCGATTTTCCCAGAGGTCCAACTTACTTCTTTCTAGTTTACTCAGGACCTAGTCAGATTTTCACCATCGGACCGCATACCGTTTATCCCCCAGAGATGAAACTTGGAGATTTAACTATACCATCCGGACAAACGTACACTCCCGTATGCAATCCATAATTTGCTCTCAGAAAACTACACTAAAAATAAGTATATACAGATGATTCAAAAATCATTATAAAAAACATAAAATATAATTATATTTGTATAATAATAATTATTAATATTTATTATAAAATCTTATAATCAATTTGTATATTTGCAGTTATAATAGTAAAATTGTTATTCGTATATATTAGTAGCATATTTATAAAACTAATTAAATTAATTGTATTTTACATAATTTAACACTATCTTTAGTGTAAATAAAAAGTATTTTCAATAAAATAATTTATAAAGTTTTCATTTCGCACATGCAAATTAATATATAATATTATTTAAAAAAAAATTCCTGATTTTTCTTTGCTCCAAAAAATCTAGATTACATCTTTAGAAATCTGCAAAAAATATCATAAATCTCTAAATGAAGATTATAGATTTTGCTTTACTGAAGAATTCTTCACTAAAAATCATGAGTCTCCAAAGACTCTAGATTTTTCTAGCATCTTTGGTTTTTTGCTAAAGAATTCTAATCGAGTTATCTGTTAATTAGTAAACTAATATTTTAGAAGAGTGAGTAAAAAATTACTAATATACTGGAGAGGAGAAGAGATATGAGAGTAAAAGTAAACAACCTTTTGAAAGACATGTCAATTATGTTTAATTTTGCTTTTAGTTTGTTGCCGAGACTTATCCATATGATGGTGATAACGACTTCCTCTAATATTCTCATCACACGTAAAACCTTTATCGCATTACATAAATGTAATCACAATGTTACATGTATACTATAACTGTTTATTTTTCCAAAGAGTAACCATAAATTTATTTAAAGACGGCAGGTAATTATCAATGTACACCTTGAAAAGGATATTTATAATGGGAAAAGTTCCATTTGAATTCACATGAACTAATTAATTAAGTTGTCTGGAGTATATATGCCAGGATACAAAGAAACTACATCCTTGTCATCCTACAATAATTCTTAATTAGGCCAGTTGGTTCCAAGTCCCCAAGTACCAAGTACGTATTTTAGTTTTTTTACGTAGAAGAAAAATATATAGATCATATATTCCCTCCGTTTTTTATTAGATGATGTTTTAAAATTTCTTTTTTATTCTAAAATATATGATGTTCTCAAGTTTCTATACAAAAAGTAATTGTGTTTTTGTTGTTTTAGCTATATTAATTTTGAATCTTATTTTTTATTGGTTGAACTGTTTTGGAATTGACAAAAGAATCTGTTTTGTTTTAAAAAAATAAAAATTTAAATAATTTCTTAATCTATGTGCACATTTCTAAAACATCATATAATAAAAAATGGAGGGAGTATAATTTTTCATTCTGATTAATATTTTAAAATATGTCTTGATCTACTTATTAACTGCTACGAAACTAGAGACAAAGTGAAAATGAATTTTATAGTCTGATTAAATTTTGCTTTACGGATAGTCTGATTAATTTTGGGAGGTTATGTATTTTATTCTTTCAATATTATGCTTTCACATGAGTTCGACGAACTGATATATATATATATATATATATATATATATATGTGTCAAGTTAAACAAAGGCATGTCTTTACAACATGAAACAACATTAAGTCATTAACGACAGTGATTGTATCCATCTTTTCCAATTCCAACAATATATTAAATACTCTGACTCTTTTAAGTAGGAGTGCTAATTTACAAAGTGGCAATTATGTAATTTTAAAGAATCACATAAAGCCGAAAAAAAAATTAGAAAATACAAAAACTGTAATCAACCATCCCTTGACACCTACTCCTCCTTTATAATAAGATAAGTCCTCTTCTCGCAACACACACATCTTCTCCTTGTTGCAGAAAAAAGTGAGACAAAAAAAAACATCAATATATTCAATCTAAGAGAGAAAAGAAGAAGATCTAGAGAGAACAAGAATCATGAATAACCAGAATGTAAACGATCATAATCTTCTACTCATTTCTCAGATGTACCCGAATGTCTATACTTCATCAGTCCAACAACAAGGTTAGCCCATTCTAAAGTTCTAATGTTTTTTTTTGTTTCCAAGATTTAAAAAAAAAAACCAAAATTGGTTATAAAAATATATTCAAGTGGGTCTCTTAATTTTATTTTGTGGTAATAAGCTTGTCGTATTTTAGTCTTTTTCACAAACGTTGCATGATACCCACACATACGTACTAGTTTTGATGGGTTTCTTTTTAACCAGCAGGAGAATCGAAACCAGTGCGGCCGAAAAGGAGGAGGAAGAGCAAGAATGTTGCGGCGGCGGAAGAAGGTGGAGATGGAAGAAATGGGTGGTTTCGGAAGAGGAAATTGAGTGATGACCAAGTAAGAATGCTGGAAATGAGTTTCGGAGATGAGCATAAGCTTGAATCGGAGAGGAAAGATCGTCTTGCGTCGGAGTTAGGTCTTGATCCTCGTCAAGTCGCCGTCTGGTTCCAGAACCGCCGTGCACGGTGGAAGAACAAGAGGCTTGAAGATGAATACAATAAACTCAAGAATGCGCACGAAAACGTCGTCGTCGAGAAGTGTCGTCTTGATTCTGAGGTGCGTGATAGTCTTCTCTTTCTGTAAAAGAAAATTTTGGTTATAACCTTATAATCTATTTTTGTATATATATGTATATGATAAATTTAAATGTTTTAAGTTTATAAAAGATAACGATAAATAAAACAAAGTGTCATTTTATGTAATTATCTTTCCGTACAAACCTCCTTTGTTTTCTAGTGGTTTACTCATGTCTTAGTCATTGGGCATTTAGTCACCAGACCCACATAATAAATCTTATCAAATCAAAGGCATAAAACATGATTAGCTATTAATGGTAAAGTAATTAACTAATCAAATCAACTTATAATTTCAGGTTCACCACCTAAAAGAACAACTTCACGACGCTGAAAGAGAGATCCAACGGTTGGCACAAAGAGTCGAAGGAGCTTCAAGCAACAGTCCAATCTCATCTTCTGTCACTATCGAAGCCAATCTAACGACACCGTTTTTTGGAGATTACGAAGTCGGAGACGACGGTGACGGTTACGAGAACTTGATCTACTCACCGGAATACACTGATGGATTAGAATGGATGAGCCAATTCATGTGAAAACAACTAGCTAATTTTATATTAAAATTTTTTAGTATAGATCGTTAAAAAAAATTAGGGGTGTAATAACTAGATTACTTATATGATTGGTCGATGTCTACAACGAAGCCCAATGTAGATAAAAAAAACTAGTATGTGTGTAATTGTTGTGGATATATCTCTCTAAGCATTAATTGCTTAATTAATTAGGTCCAAAGCTGCTGTAATTTGTTTGACTTAAAGGTCAAATTTGGACTAGAAATGTAGTACTATTAATTTGTTAATTATAAGTAAATTGCGATTTGTCTTTCTAATCATATACTTTATGCATAAAAATACTTAGCATTTTCATGATTCTCGGCAAATCTAAAATTTTCAAAGATAAAACTAATTGGAAAAATTTGTACTCGAACTATATGTGAATAGATCAAATCATATACACTAAATAATATTCAACGAAACCACCTAATTCATATAAAAAAAATTATCCAACAAAAAGCTATCGATATTCAGTTATTCACACCCTAATGTATGGAGTACTAAAAAACAAACTTTAACTAACAAAATAAAATATTTAAATTGTTAAAAGAAGCAACAGAAACCAGCATTCAATAAAACCGTAACTACATATTTGACGACGGTTGACGAATTAAAAAAAAAAAATAGTTTGTTGTCAATGCATTTTAATTGTGTAAAATCCTTTAACAAAAAAAAGCATTTTAAATCTGTAAATAGCATTGCACATTTGTGATATAAATTTAACCAAGGAGTAAAGATTGCGTTTCTCATTGTTTTTTCAGTCATATGATTTAAAATAACTGGAGAATTTTTGTTTTTGTTTTGTTTTCTCTTTTTTGCAATTAACGACTTGGTTGCCAATTTGTGTATTTACGTGTGTATTCATACCTGATAGTGTGATACGTATAAGAAACAGTACGTACGTACAGGCGTGTACAGTCACTGAATTTGAAATAGAATACGGACCATTGGAATCTATAGCCTGATAGAAACTAAAGCATGTCTTCTGGTCAGATTGGCACGTACGTGTTTCTATATGGACTGTTGACATTATATATTTTATATAATAAAGTACGTAAAACTGATTCAAACTATATATATATATATATAAACTATATGTCTATATAGGTTTTCTTCAAGAACTTTTTGTTTTGAACATATTTTCTTCAAGAACTTCTTGTCATCATCCAACACATTTAGTGGTATAGTCATAGAAAAACAAGCGGCTAAAGGTATCGCACATGATATACAAACACAAACAAAACGACGATAACACTTTAAATCTAGGAAGATAAGATTTTGCCAAAAATTTAAAAGGAATTCGGATAAAATGTAACTCAATTAGGTAACATATTGAATGTGGGTTCACCTCATGTGACAACAAAATTGGATAGCATATGACTATTCGACGGTCTAACGAATATTGACTCTTAACAAATATCTAGCTACATACATATCTTACCATTACCAGTTTATTATTTAAATCACAAAGATTCAGATAATATAGTATGTCTGTCCTCGTCTAGAAAAATAAATTTATTTATGATTGTTATAAACTTATAAATGTTTATTAAACCTAAGAAACAATAATCTTTGTGGGGAAGGATTTGCAGGCTAATGGACCCATCTCTCTTATCTCTTCAACAAATCAGGTTTTGAAGCTATTTGTTGTCTCACTAGTGTAAGAGTTAAATGGTCACATAGAGTTCAGATTCTGTCAAACCACTAAGAAACTGACAAACACGTTTGTATTTTTTTGTGCGTATAGATTATGTGTCGACAAATTGCAGTTTATTCGTAACAAAAAGTGGAATCGGGAAGTGATAAAAAGAACGCGATTGGTGTAAATTTAAGGAAATAAAGATTGAATTTAAAGTTTAAAGAACCAACAGAGTATGTGTACCTTTTAAAGTTGAAGTCAGATACATTATATGCACTGGAGTACACAGTGATATGTGTCGAGATGTCATGGATTGATGTATTTAAAAGTCGGTCATCTTTTTCAAATGTTTTATTAAATAAATTTGATTCTTATTTTTGTATAGTCTAGATGTTGCACTTTTGAAACGATACAAATGGAAATGAAGATTACAAATATTAATATTTATTTCATTTAGTTTCAACAAGTAGTAATAGTGTTCATACATTTCCATTTAGTTTTTACTACTTAACCTATAATACATAGGACATATATTGTGTTGTAGAACTTACCAAATGAACTTTGCTGCATTCAAATATGTAGGATACTAATTATTCGTTACACAAACTTTAAAATACGAATGTTAAAAAAAAAAAACTTTAAAATACGATTTAAATTGGAAAAGAGAGATATTATTTTTGCCAAATTACAGAGAAAACTGTTTGTTATCTTTATCAACTTCGATAATTCGTTTCATCGGATTCTCAAGGCCCATATAAATGTTTAAGCAAATTAATCAGGCAAATCTGTGTTTTTCATCTTTTTTTTTGGCTTTTAACAATTAGTGGACAATAAAACTCATATTTTCGGAAGACAAAGACAAAGATTCATATTCCAAGAGAAGACGATAAAACTCTCAAGAAAACAAAAGCTCTCAAAAAGACAAAGATTCATGTTCCAAAAAGAAGACAATATAAAGTGAGACGACCAATCAAGGATGATGGAGAAAAGACTCATAAGACTATTGTTCTAAGCGATCAAAATATGCTAAGACTAGTCAATACATGCACCACGCACAACACTGCTTCAAAACTAATTAGAGAAAGGTCGCAAGTTCTTGCAAGAACAAAAAGTCGTCAAGCAATTTCAAGGCAAGCTTATTATTTATTTTTGTGCAAACAAAGCAAGCTTATTTAAGCTTAATAAAAGAGATAAAATAGAATATGAAAGTGTAATAGTTCATTAAGAGCTTTATTGTGTGCAAAGAATCTATAAAAGAGAAGAGATCTCAAATGAAACACCAAGAGCTAAAGAGATTTACAAATTAATATCATAAAGGAAGGAAGGAGGAGAATTACAAACAAAGTTCTCATAACATTTTTATACTAGTCTACTTGCAATAAAATTCTAAACACATGTGTTTTTTTTTTTTACACTTCAATAGACTTGTAGACTGCATTGGGCTTGCATGTGTTTTTTTTTGTCGTCCATTGTATTAAAGCCCAAAGGGCAAACCCAATAAGGGTAGAGCAGATTACATCTCACAACTAAGCCCAATAAACAAAAGAAAATAAAAATTACAAGGTTTGGACACGTGTTGACATGTGTAATAAGTTAACAGCGAATCCAGCTACACGTGTTACATGGAGATGGAAAGTGGCAGCACCGTGGTTTTCACCGGAAACTTCATCCTTCCCGGAAATTTCTTCTAAGAAAATTCTGCACAATACTGCTTTGATTTTCTCTGCTCATTCCTACTGCATGTATAAACCAAGAAAAGATGATGAAAATTCTTTGCTCCGTTAGTAAATAAACCCATGATTCGCTGGAAGATTAGAAGCAGAATATTTTCTGGACCCTTTGCCAGATCTATTTACTCTGCATCATAACCATCCAATTGATTCCCTAAGAACTCGATTTAACATCACTAAAGAGACATTTGCTTTGCATAACAGCGTAAAAGCAAGGAATTACTCTATAGAAAAGAAACCAAGCAACTAACTGATAAGAATTTCATCAAATTTTCTGGAATCTGAAATATAAAACACGCAGAAGGGAAGATCTGAAAAACAGAAATTTATTTATCCGACAAAGCGGAAATTGAAAATCCGATAAAACGGAAAAAGTAAAACAAACAAAGATCCGATAAATATAAACAGCACGGCGCCGGCGTCGGATTAACGCCGGCCACCGACCAAAAAAGACTCAAATCTGAGTAAAGAAGTTTCGAAAGTTCGAGAGGATTTAGATAGAGAAAATTGTCGAGAGAGACTGTTTTCTTCTGTTAATCTCTGTTCAAACCCGGCTTGCATGTGTTTAAAGAATAGAATTACTATGTAGTCAAACAATTGTAGAAAGAAAGATGTAATTTTTCAGTCAGAAAAATGGTAAGTTATTTTTAACATTCATACCAAAAAAAAATGGTAAGTTATTTCGGTCCGATGGTAAAACCAAGAAAAGAGTTCGGTGTTGTAATGGTTTTACCGGGGCCTTGTAACGAATTTTAATAGCCTGGCTAATTATTTCTTGGGCTTCTTCAACTGATTAAAAAGGCCCACCTTTACCTTTTAGGAATTCAGGTTCTCGGTATGAGGTGACTGTGTTTTATATGCAGAGCATTTGGGATTCTTCTAACATAAACCAATAATGAACCGTACTTAAACCGAGTCTAGACCAGTTCACTAATCAGTTCTAGCTTAAATCACATTAACCATTCCGGTATACACTTCAAGATGTATTAGAGATCCGATAAAGGTTTATTTCCATGCTAAAAGGAGAAGACATTTTTGAAATGGTAACAAAAAAATTTGCAGGATAAATTAAATACAATTCGATCTATTATGTTTATATATATTAAGTTAATAAACCAACCAACCAAACCCTTTAAAAACCTATACCCAACCAATCCCGGTTTATTTTTTTAAAACCGCCAAGCTGACGTGGCGACCAAAGGCCTTTCGTGCCAACAAAGCACTAACTCTCCCTGACGTTTCGCCACGTGGAACCCTCTGACTTGTGCCTTCTCCACTAAACACTCAGCTTGAAAATCGACAAACTGGCTCAACGGAATCGACCTCATCCCCGCCGCACAAAACGCCTCTCGCCACGTCATCTCTCCACCCGCTTGTCTCTTATTCGCCGCCGCTTCAACCGCCGCCGCGATTTTAGGTCGCAACACAAACGCTTCTATAACCTTCTTCACCAGATCTCCAGTCGGAGCGGCGGCGTCGAGAGACTCCAACACCATCGTGTAGTACTCGAGACCACTAACGAACTCTCTCTGGAATGATCCAGCTCCGGAGATTCCATTCCATCCTTCGCTATCCACGAAGACGACGACCTTCGGTGAAACTCGCCGTAAATCGTTAACGAAACCGGAGATTCCGTTTAAACGACGGAAAATCATCGGCGAAAGCATAACGACGGTTCTCTCTCCTTCCACGAATCTGATCGCTTTGAAAGATAACATCTCGAAGGTTCGCATCAGAACGAATTCGATCTGGAATCGGATTTTCAGATCTGCGGCGAATTGAGCTAGGTTCTCTTTGACAAGACGCGTCTCGACGGCGGATTCTTCCGGTACAACCGCCGTGACTCTCAGAAATCCGCCGTTGATTGATGATTTATCGGCGATCTCTCTCATGAGCGACGCGTATTGACCGCCGAATCCGATCTCAAAATCCACGACGTGTGCGAACTGGGAGGAAGATTGTTGGAGGGAATCGAGAATTGCTTGATTCGCCGTGAAATGAGAGAAGAGAGGTATCGGAGAAATCCCGGAGAATTCTTTGATTGCCCGTATTCTCTGAACGATCTCGGTCCATGAAGCTAACCGGTTTTGATTCCGGGTCGACCCGGTTAAAAGCGATCCGAGAGATTCTTTGAAGTAAAACGCCGCTCTCTGAAGCGGCCTACCCGCCGGCAACCTGAGACATTGATTGAGCCGCGACAATACTACCTGAGCGAGTTGCAACTCGTCCGATTCGACACAGTCCACAACTCGTAAGAGATCTTCTATGAAATCAAATCCTCCATTGACGCTACCTTCGTTGTTATCAAACCCGTACCCTTGTCCCGGATAAACATCGGAGGACCGAAACTCCGCCGGATGAAGCTGATCGGGAAAAACAGGAAGCTGTGGATCGACGGCGAAGTGCGGCGAAATGGAAGACGGAGGAGGGAAGTTGGATTTCAAACTAGGCGCGGAATCGTCATCTAATTCCAATTCTCTCATGATCGAATCCCAATCCATGGAACGCATGGCATGATCATCTACGGGAAACTGGTTATCACCACCGGTAATCTCCAACGCAGCGATGACGGGCTTCTCCTCCGCCGCCGCAGGACTTGGGCTTCTACGGCGGTCGAGGACAGAAGTAGGCTCGTTATAGCCAACAAGATTCCTTCCTCCTGAGTTACTGTTCGTGGTGTCCGATGAAGCAGGGACTCTCATGTCTCTTGAAAACAGAAAGAGTATTGTTTTTTTCTCTCTCTCTCGTTTGTGAGGAAGAAGACGAAGAAGCTTTCTCGTTGGTAAGCTTTTTTTTTTTTTTAGTGGAGAGGTTTCGAGTTATAATTGTTTTGAAAAGGAAGATTCGCTACTTTTTTTTTTTTTGGTTATATCAAAATCAGATATCGATCACGAGATGTTCGAGCTCCACTATGTTGTTGTTGATGATCAAAAAGACATTTCCAAAAGGAAACACAAAAGGGTTGAATAAGTTTTGTTCTGAAACTATTATCATCTTTTCTTGATTAGGTTCTAAACTGTTATATATAAACTTGGTTTTGTAATGGGGTTAGCAAGAATAGATTCTGGTTTTTACTTACAAATGGCTAGCTTTTTTGAAAAAAAAAACTAGTTTTCCATAATTTTAGATTATGAATTTGTTCAAAATGTTGATTGTCGATAAAATAGTTTTTTAAAAAACATACAAAATCGAGAAACTGTTTTAAAAACTACAAAGAATCAAAGAAATCTTGGTCTCACTTTTTTAGTTAATTTTGTCGGCGATTTGCATAAGCAAAAGTATATATTAATTAGCAGTACAACATGCAATAATAAAACCATAAGAAAATTTACTAAATTCTATATCTTTTACTTTTTGTAGATAATAAACTGATTGATTTCAATTAACATAAATATGCATCATTTTCTATTTTTCAAGTTTATATCGCTATATGTTTTACGTATTTTTTTTTGTAGACAATCAACTGATATATAATCATCTTTTTGCTGTAAAACAAAAAGAAGATAATCATCTTTTTCTTTGCCTTTTCAGTCATTGAGTTGAGCAAAGAGTAGAAAGTAATTATGAAGGTGTAGAAAGGCGTCCTCTCATTGAAACATAATTCAACCTTTCTCCAGCAGAAAAATGCCTTCATCTTTATTGCAGTATGTAACTAAATTTGATTACTACTATAGTTTAAGTTTTAAGAAAATTTAGTAAATAGACATAGATAATAGTAAAATTAGGAAAATGGAACCAATAATCAAAAATTAGGTTGATACATATTATACATAGAAATTATGACTATTTCGTTCTTATAATTATTTGATGTGGTTTTGATAGATAACAATTAAATTACCATGCTAACTAATATAATATCATGATAATTGTGTTAACTATGATAACTAATATGATGCTCGATTAACACATTGTACAAATATCAAGTTAACATGATAACTATCGGGTTAATGTTGCTATTATTTCATAAAAAATAGGAGTTAACTTTGTTCGATTAGTATATTGTATAAAATATCGAGTTAACATGATAACTATCGTGTTAACGTTACTATTATTTCATGAAAATATGAGTTAATTTTGCTAATTGTATAAGTTATGCAAAATTATCATGTTAACAATGTTATTATATCGAAAACTTATCATACTAACATTGTGAACATGATAATTATCATGGTAACATTAATATTATCATCTTAACAATGTTATCATATCGAAAACTTATCATACTAACGTTGTGAACATATTGATATTATTATCTTTTATCACATCACCACCATCACCGCCACTACCACCACCATCGTCATCACCGACACTACCACCACCATCACCACCATCGGTATCGTATTACTTCTACCACCACCAGCCCGCCATCACCAACACCACTACCACCACAACCACCATCACACCGACATCTTTCCATCACCCTCAATATTGGCATCACCACCATCACCATCACTCTCGGCATCGTCATCAACTTTACTACCACCGGTGCGTCATCAACATCACTATCGTCATCTTTATTTCTTCTGTTCTTCTTTCTTCAATTTTCATTTTTTCTCTTTCTTTTAAGTAATAACGATGATAGAGTAAGAATAAAATAGTATTTTTCTTATGAATAATGTGAACAAAAAGTTATCAGTTTGTATCAATTTCTGTCGGTTAATTTACTGATTATTTAGATCCATTTGTTGCAATTTCTCTTAAGTTTTTAACACGCACAATAAAATAGAACATTAATAACCGGCAAGGTACAATTAAATTACGTGTAAACCTTTTTAATTTAGAAAGTTTTAGTATGTGTTAAGATTTAATCTCTTTCTTTTACTTTCATAAGAATTCTTTTCCCAAATCCAAACTAATTAAATAGTGAGAGAAGAGAAGATATGAGATTTATAATATGTTTGCTTGTTATTATTTTTACTTGATATTTATAATAAAATTGCTCATTATATTTTTGTTCCTATTTTATAACAAAGCTGGTGATGACATTTGTCTCCAATTTTTTAGTTATCAAAAATAAAACCGGCATTGTCATTGTAATTTAATTATCAGAATGGAACATTAATTAAATTTGATTACTACTATAGTTTAAGTAATTAATAACTTTCATGTTGTACCCATTGTCATTGTAATTTTGTAATATGGGGGAGTCGACATGTCGTCGAGATTGATCAACATTGCGGACACAGAAAATAATTATATATGGGTCACAACATATATAAATATTTAATATAATTAAATTAATTAAAATATATTATAAATATTAAAAATTATAACATAAATTATAGTTTTTGTTAATTTTTGAAAATATATAAAGCTAAGTAAATAAAAAAATTTGGAAAAGAAAACAATAAAGAACATGGAAAAGGATTGAATTTGAATTTATATGAAGAATAATTTAGCTCAATGAAAATAATAACATAAATTATTATAGTTTTCATTAATTTTTGAAAATTTATAAAATTAAATAAATAAATAAAATTAGAAAAGGAAAAACATAGAAAAAATTAGATTTAGATTTATATAAAAAATATTTTAGTTATAAAACCAACTGAGTTATTAAACTATTAGTGTTACATATATATATTATTTATAAATTTAGTATGGAGCACATGCCTCACCCACATATAACATGGAACCGCCCCTGTATATAACTGTAAAAAATAGTTCTGTAAAGCGAGAAATAATTGTAAGGAAGAATGTAAGATATATATTACTTTTGCGGTGCATGTAAGATATATATTCATGTATAATATACGTGCACATGTTCCATTTGATTTTATGGATTCTCTAAACTACTAGTATATGCAAACTTAATTTAATCAAAAGGTCCGTGGACTTAAGACTAAGATATTTACCCAATCTACAACAGTGTTTTGCAGAAGCCTATTAAATAAAACTACAAATTACTTTTTGATGTAACTTACGTTTTTACATGAGTTTTCTTTGTATTTCCCAAAATTTCTCATCTAACAGTCTAAACTATGCCATTTTTAGCACATGTGATCATATTTTAACCAAATCGATCAGTCATATGATTACTAGTATTCCCACTCTGCCAGGGTGTCTCCACGTTGGATTCCCTCTCGTAACCTAAAACGTAACATCGACACATTGTATTGGCAAAGTTTAGGGGTGTCACGCATAGCTAGATAAATAAATCGACTTTACATAATCAGGTTAAATAGTTTTACTTTTTATATCTGAAAAATAAAAACTGCATTCCAACATGTCTGAAAAGCAAAAAACTTAATGGAAACCTGAATTAAAAAATAGAGTTCAAACCAAACTAATAATGTATCAAGCGGATCCATATTAGTTTAGTCTATCATATACTAACGAACGGTTTTCAATTAACTAAGAAAATGGAAAATCATATCAAACATTCTTAATTTACATATACGTTTTTGTAAAAGAAACTCTCGGTGTTTCACTAAATTTTAGTCTCAATACGAAATAATAACATTCGTCTCTCTCCTATTCTAAGCTACACAATCAACTGAGTTACTTAAAATGTTTTTTTTTACTATAGCTTAGTTATGTTATTTTGGGCACACCGAGTTCTATAACAAAAAAAAAGAAAAAAAAATGAGAGAGAGTCAAATACTTAGGAAGTAAGGAAAACAAAGGAGAGGCCGATAATACACAACACATAGACGTTTCATCTAAAAGTAGAGAAAGCTTGAAGCTCACAAAAGCAATAAAGGTTGTTTTTAGTAGATTCTGATTTTGTGTTATTCACACACACAAAAAAAGATCGTTACATTAAAATATAACGCAGAAAGGGCAAGAAAAATAATAATAAAGAGATCGTAAAAGCTTTTTAATTTTAAAGTTCATAGCTGTGCATACATAGCAATGTATAATGTACACCCAACTATTGATTCATAGTGATATATATATTTATACTAGGAGAAGATTCGCGTATTGCGCTAATTTGTGATATTTTAATTATTTTAATGTTATAATTAATTTTATTATATTTATTAGTAAATTTTATCAGTAAATATTAGTTTATAAGTTGTAAATATTTTTTAAATTTTGTTAAAAAAGTTAGTAAAATAATAATGTTCGGTTTAAACCAGTTAGAGAAGTGATGCTACTATTAGAGATGACCGAAAAGAAAGTCCTCGAGAATAGAATCTATATTTTGATAGTGATGGCAATTTAAAGTTGGATACAGTAGGGAAATAAGTAGTGATGCCCTAATAAAAAAAGATTTTCTAAAAGTAAATAGTGCATGATTTTCTGTTTGATTGCCACAAAAAGAACATGAAGAAATGAATCTATTTTCCTAATGGAAACAATGACATAGTCAGCTCTTAAAAGTTAAGAAAATATATAATAATGTGAAATATGAAACATAATAAAAGAGAATCTAGTGGAGAAAAAGAAAACCTGAAACATTGTTTTGTATTTGTTCGATGAAAGTGAATACAATGAAAATAAAAAAAACTTAAAGTAACATATGTTAATTTCTAAGATGTTACGTGACAGCATATCAGAGTTGTTTATGAAAAAAAACGTTACTAATTTTCGTTTCTTTTGTTAAATGAAAAATAATCATTTATAGAAGAGAAAAAAAAACTGAAACTTTCTTTTTGTGTTTGTTTAATAAAAGAAAATTTAATAGAGATTATAAAAAAAAAAAAAAAAAAAAGTGACACATGTTAGTTTTTTAAATGCCACATAGCAGCATATCAAAGCTGGTTCTGAAAAAATGCCTTACAGGTTTTTGTTTCTGTTTGTTAAATGAAAAATAACTGTTTGTAGAAGAGAATAAAAATCTTCTCCTAATAATTTGATATATAAAAAATTTCAAACAAAATATTTTGCAAAATGAACCTAAGACTGGAAGCACATTATTTATTTGAGACCTATTGTACAAAATCTTTTTTTTCACAAAAGCAAATAATACATGGTTTTCTACTCATTTGGCCAGAAAGAAAACATAAAGAAATAAATCTATTTTTTTGTAATAAAACAATGTCACACCC